AAAGAAAGAGCACCTCCAAATCAACAAAATCAGAGATGAAAGGGAAAACATCACAACAGACACCAGAAAGATACAGAATATTATAAGGGAATACTTTAAAATCTATATGCTACTAAATTTTAAATCCTAAAAGAAATGGACGGATATCTAAAGGCATGAGAACCACCAAAACTAAACCAAGAAGAGATTAACAGCTTAAACAGACCCATAACAGAAAAAGAAATTGAAACAGCAATACAAAACCTCCCGAGAAAAGCCCAGGACTAGATGTATTTACAGCAGAATTCTATTAGACATTTAAAGAAGATCTACATCTAATACTACTTAATTTATTCAAAAAGATAGAAATGGAGGGAGAACTTCCAAATTCCTCTATGAATCCAGCATCACTCTAATACCAAAGCCAGGTAAAGACACAACCGAAAAAGAAAACTATAGACCCATACCCTTAATGAAAATAATGCAAAAATTCTCAACAAGATACTTGCAAACTGCATACAGACACACTTCAGAAAGATCATCCACCAAGGTCAGGTTGGCTTTATTCTTGAGATGCAGGGATGATTCAATATACGTAAGTAAATAAACATCATAAATCATATAAATGGACTCAAAGACAAGAACCACTTGTTCATCTCAATAGACGCAGAGAAGGCCTTTGACAAAATTCAATGTGCATTTATGTTCAAAGTTCTAGAGAGAGTTGGACTGGAGGGAACATACCTCAACATAATTAAAGCCATATAACAAACCCACAGCCAACATCATTCTAAATGGAGAAAAACTGGAAGCATTCCCAGTGAAATCAGGAACCAGATAAGGCTGTCCACTATCCCACTTCTCTTTAACCTAGTTCTTGAAACTCTTGCAAGAGCAATTAAGACAAGAGAAGGAAATTAAAGGAGTAATAATTGGAAAAGAAGAGATCAAATTATCCCTTTTTGCAGATGATATGATATTATATCTAAGGGATGCCAAAAATTCCTCCTGAAAACTCCTAGAAATTATTTTCACATTCAGTAAAGTGCAGGTTACAAAATTAACCTACAAAAGTCTATAGCCTTTCTATATAACAATAACAAGCAATCAGAGAAAGAGCACATGGAAACACTCCCATTCACAATAGCTGCAAAAAAAAAATAAAATATCTAAGAATAAACCTGGCCAAAGCCATTAAAGAGCTCTACAATGAAAATTTTAAATCTTTAAAGAAAGAAATTAGGAAAGACATCAGAAGATGGAAAGACCTCCCATGCTCATGGATTGGAAGAATTAATATTATGAAAATGACCATACTACCAAAAGTCATATATAGATTCAACACAATGCCAATTAAAGTACCCATGACATTTTTCACAGAATTCAAAAAAAAACTATCCTAAGATTCATATGGAAGCACAAAAGACCTCGGATAGCCAAAATAACCCTGAGCACTAAGAGCAATGCCAGGGGTATTACTATACCAGATTTCAAGCTGTGTTGCAGAGCCATAGTCATAAAAACAACATGGTACTGGCACAGAAATAGATCCATAGACCAATGGAACAAAATTTAAATAAATGAAATTTCAGCCCCCTGATATTTGACAAAGGGGCCAAGAACAGAAACTGAAGGAAAGCCAGCATGTTCAGCAAATGATGCTGGTGAAACTGGATCTCCACTTGTAGAAGTATGAAACTACACCCCTATCTTTCACCCTGCACAAAAGGCAATTCCAAATGGCTCAAAGACCTCAATGTAAAGCCAGGAACTCTGAAAGTATGAGAAGAAATCATTGGGGAAAACCTTCAAGATATAGGAGTAGCAAAGGATTTTCTAAACCGGGTATCAATTGCTCAGGAAATCAGGGCTAGAATTAACAAATGGGACCTCATTAAACTAAAAAGCTTCTGCACATCAAAGGAGGCAACCAGGGAAGCAAACAGAAAACCCACAGAATGGGAAAAAAATCTTCACCAGCAACACATTCGACATAGCTTTAATAACCAGAATATATAATGAGCTCAGAAAACAGAGAACCAAGACAGGAAGCAACTCAATTAAAAGATGGGCTAAGGAGCTGAACAGAGAATTCTCAAAAGATGAAGTAAAGATGGCTATGAAACATCTTAAAAGATGTTCAGCATCACTAGTAATTATGGAAATGCAAATTAAAACCACTTTAAGATTTCACCTTCCAGTCAGACTGGCTAAGATCAAGAAAACAAATGATACCAAATGTTAGAGAGGATGTGGGGAAAGGGGGACACTCATCCACTGCTGGTGGGGCTGCAAACTGGTTCAACCCCTATGGAAAGCAGTGTGGAGAACTCTTAAAAAACTACAAATGAACCTACCATTTGACTCAGTTATATCACTCCTTGGCATATACCCCAAGAATTCATACTGTTGCAGAGACACTTGTCCATCCATGTTTGTTGCTGCTGTTTTCATAATAGCTAAGAGATGGAAGCAACCTAAGTGTCCCTCAATTGATGAGTGGATAATGAAAATGTGGTTCATATATACGATGGAGTTTTACTCAGC